CATGCATAAGATTTCAACCTGGAAATCTGAGATAATTCATCTGAAAGAATTATTATCCCCAGATTTCAGATTTATATGGATGAGTTCCCTAGTTTGTAAGCATGACTATAGAAGAGCACAGTCTTTGTAGGCAAAAGGTTCAATTGCTAATATTTCCACATAGAGTTGAGAAAGATTTTGAAATTCTGGAAACTACTGTTCAGCTTTTTGTGGCATTAGATTACAACTTCCATCACATCAATTCATCATAGTCATCAACGCCGATGGGATGATGGAAGTTGTAGTCCATAACATTGGTGGGGCACTAAGTGGGGAAGGCTAGTATAGCCAATACTTGGCTAGGTGTCCTATGGACTCACCCTATAGAAGCATTCCTACAAAAACAGTGGAAAGAGGAAACACAATTTACCATATAGGGTTTTTTTTACAACATCAACATAGTAGATAAATTAAAATGTTTTCTAAGAGAAGATTTGTTAATTACTAAATGGAAATGAGTGATGTATGCCCAGTCAAATGGCACAAAATTGAGACTTTTGGCAGTTTTTCTTTACAACGATTTAATTTCAGCACATGAGCTTGAGTATCCAATCATATTACATTTTTTAAAAATGCAATTATTTCCTATGATATATACACACATGCCCACCGGGTACTGCATATCTTGTACATACTCACTGGCATATCTTGCACACATTCACTGGCGGGAGCCTCAGTGACGCAATGGGTTAAACCCTTGTGCCAGCAGAACTGGAGACTGACAGGTCGGAGGTTCAAATCCAAGGAGAGCAGGTTGAGCTCCCTCTGTCAGCTCCAGCTCTCCATGGGGGACATGAGAGAAGCCTCCCACAAGGATGGTAAAAAAAAATCAAACATCCACTCATCTCCTTGCAGACAGCCAATTCTCTCTCTCCAGAAGCAACTTTTTTTTAATAAGCTAATGTACACGGAATGCTAAATTTCAAATCAAGGCTCTTTAATGACTTTGGACAAGTTGCCTCAAAAGCAAACAAACAGTACTCAGAAGCCACAATGTCTCCTCTGCTTCATGTGTTAACTTCTGTCATAGTCGTAAGATGCCTTAAGTTTGATTCCCACACAAAGATTAAGCAGCCAGCCTACACATTGCTGAGAATGGGGTTGGAACATTTTGATCCTCCTGATGTTTTGGCAAATTTATTTATTTATTTATTTATTTATTTTATCCCCCTTTCTCCTGTGGGTGGGACTCAAAGCAGCAAACAATAGTTAAAACAACATGACACAAAAAACATGACACAAAAAACACCACATCATGACCCCTTAATAAAACATATAAACAATTATCGCATTATTTGGCCCATATACAACAAGCTTAATAAATACAACAAATATCATTAAAATTCCCTGGGCCTCAGGCAAGTGAGGGTATCCATAAAAACCTAAAAACATTGTACTGAGATCCTAGAAGCTCCACTTCTTTAGGCCGTGTAATCATTGCCAAGCCCAAGGTATCCTTCAGTGATGTGCCTTACCAATAGCTGTCTGATCATTGCCTATTATAGGTTATTGGGAAGTCCTGAATCCACAGAAAGGTTTTAACTTGTGAGCAAAAGGCCAGTAGAGAGGGGACCAACTGCACCTCTTTCCAGAGCAGCAGGGCCACCACCGAGAAGGCCCTCTCATTCCCACCAACCACAGTTGTGACAGCAGTGGGACTGAAAGAAGGGCCTGATGATCTCAGGGCATGAGTGGGCTGGTAGGAGGAGATGTGGTCCCCCAAATAGGCTGGGCCCGAACCGTTTAGGGCTTTATAGGTTAAAGCCAGTACCTTGAATTGCACCTACCATTCCTATCAGTGATTGTGGGATCTCTATTCTAACACAGTAGAGGGTTGACATTTCCTATCTCTGATATGGGGTTGGGAGACTGAATAAAGATAAAAGTTTATGATAGGGTGATGGTAATACACCCTCACACTAAAAATGAAAACACCAAAACAAGGTTACCATGTATGAGAGAAATTGATATCATAGCCCACTCTCCAATATGATTTTCTGCTATATTTCAGGAGAGCTATCAACCATGCAGGTTCATTGCTTGTGTACAAGGAGTCATCCAAAAAGGCAGTCTCCTGCTAGCAAACTGATGTGATCTTCTCCAGAACTTGTGTACTTAAGAATATTCAAAGTACAATCCCTCTCTTCCGATCTGAAGTAGTCCTCACCAAAACTTCATTCTGAAAGGCACTAGACAGCTATCTGCTTGAGAATGCTTTAGCTGGAGATCCTAGACTGAACATGGGATTAGGCTCAATGGCCCACGAGGCCCCTTCCAACTCTAGGGTTCTGTGACTCAACTGGGGTACATTCAAAGAACTTTGAAGATGTTTTAATGGTTTTTAACTGTGAATTTTTAAATACTGTTTCTATTTAATTCTGTTTTAATGTTTGCATATTTGTATACTTTAAAATGTATGCTAATGCTTTTATGTTAAGCTCCTTCAGGAGAGATTAATAATAATAATAATAATAATAATAATAATAATAATATAATGATGATGATGATGGTGATCACCTCCAATCTGAAATTATACTGTCCAGAATCTTAGATCTATTGGGGAACTTTCAAAGACAATCTTAGGGTGCATCTACACTACAGAATTAATGAAGTTTGACACCACCTTAATTGCTATGGCTCAATGCTATGGAATCATGGGAGCTGTAGTATGGTGAAATATCAGAACTATTTGGTAGAGAAGGTGAAAGACCATGTAAAACAATTCTTATGATTCAACAGCAATGAGCCATGGCAGATAAAGCAGTGGCAATGGGATTATTTCTAAAGTATAGATGAACCGTAGTCTACCAGAAATGTATTTTTATTTGGTTATCTAAGTAAATTATAACAAATTATAACAGTCGCCTTTATAAAAAGAAAAAAAATTACCTCTGCTCTTTGTATTATTTTATTTGTCTACCAGAAATGTAGACTAAGGGATATCTACAAAGATGCACTCCTCAGTTCCCCCAGTCTGAAATATTACTGTGGCAGAAGTGGGTTGCTGTATGGCCATGTTCCAGAAGCATTCTTTCCTGATGTTTCACCCACATCTATGGCAGGCATCCTTAGAAGTTGTGAGATCTGTTGGAAACTAGGCAAGTGAGTTTCCAACGGACCTCCCAACCTCTGAGGATGCCTGCCATCAGGGTTGTAGCCGGGGGGGGGGGGGGGGGTTAAAGGTTCTCCCCCCCCCCCGAAAAGGTTCTACTCCCCCATCCCGAAAAATTGTTTACTCAATTTTGACTGGTTAACCAAGTTATGAATAAACCAGGTTTCTTTTGTAATTTGACACATTTCAGGGCAGGGTTACACTTTTAACCCCCCCTCCCCGGACTACAGCTCTACCTGCCATAGATGTGGGCGAATGCTTCTAGAACATGGCCATACAATCCAGAAAACTCACAGCAACCCAGTGATTCTGGCCATGAAAGCCTGCGACAATACTGTGCAGAACCTTAGCCTATTGGGAAACATTTAACGATGCATCCCTGCACTGAAGTATAATCTTTGTTTATCCCGTTATTCCTCCTCCTAATGTGAGTTTCCAATGGACCACCCAGCCTCTGAGAATGCCTGTCATCAAGGGCTGTAGCCAGGGGTGGGATTAAGGGTTCTACCCCCCCCCCCATCCAAAAAGGTTCTAATCCCCCCTCCCGAAACCTGGTTTACTCAAGAATTTTGACTGGTTAACCAAGTTATGAGTAAACCAGGTTTCTTTTGTAATCTGACACATTCCAGGGCAGGGTTACACCCCCCGACTACAGCCCTGCCTGCCATAGATGTGGATGAAATGTCAGGAGAGAATGCTTCTAGAACATGGCCATACAATCCAGAAAACTCACAGCAACCTAGTGATTCTGGCCATGAAAGCCTTCGACAACACTGTTCAGAACCTTAGTCTATTGGGAAACATTTAGAGATGCATCCCTACATCTTTGTTTATCCCGTTATTCCTCCTCCTAATGTCGTAATACTGTGCCAATCAGCTTCTGTTGAATTTACAGCACACATCTGTGTTGTGTGCGCACTGAAAATGCAGCACAGAAAGACTTTGGGTTCAATGACTCCTGTTAGTTTGGTTATTTCCTATTTGCATATATGACTACTCTGGTGAGCTAGGATATACACCCAGTTTGCTAATTACCGTCTTCCTCCTGTCCCACCTTAACAATGTTCAGACATGTATCCGAATACCAACGGAGCTGTTGACCTCACTTGTGGGAAAATGGCCCATGCTTTCCCATAACGTTTTGCACAGAAGAAATTCCAGGGCACCCAACAGCCAGTCCTCAGTTGCGACAGCCTTCTGCTGGAGCTTTAGATAACCTTAATCCTATAGAGGAAAACGGAGAAGATTAAACATCTTTTTCTTGCCCCACACTGGCGCCCAAAGCCGAAGAGCACCCTGAAAAGAGTTATAGAGAAGAATATTGAGAGATGGGTAGGTTTGAGCCTGACCTTACCCATTGACATGGGGAAGGCAATCCTTGCTAAACAGAGATATTGAGCCCTTCTCGTGCCCATGCAAAACTGACGTGACTTTGTGCTCTGCTTCTGCCATCCAGCTGCCAGAAGACGCCTTCAGATATTCTTCCCCCTCTGCTCCGAAATGAAATTCAAGAGACTGCTCTCCCCTCCCTCCTTACCTTCCAAGAGGCTTGCCTTATCGTGTCATGCCAGATGGGGCCATGCGTTGAACATCCCTTGGAGATTTTTTCAAAAAAGAAGAAATCATGTTAGCCTGGAAAAGTCTCTTTCAAGGTTTGCCTGCTCCCTTCCCTTAGCAAGCACTAGGAATAAAGTTGCAGAAAGGGGGGGGGGAGGATGTTGGAATGATTGACAGCTCTGAACTATAGGCTCATCCCTTACCTTAGGCCATGCAATCTGATTGGCTGTCTCCTGACATCCCCAAAGCACAGCACTTTTAATAGAAGCTTTGGGTAGATAGTCCGGGGGTGGGTGGGGGAAAGGGTTCAGTGAGGTTCATTTCTGACAAGGCAGAAAATCATTTCCCCCCACTTCAGGGGACTCTCTTGGGCTATTTAGGGTGTGCGCATAGATGAGCGGGATGGGTAAGAGGACAGAAAGAATCTGACTTCTTATTTGTTTATTTTTTAAACAAATTGTCCTTAAATGTTTTTTGGCAAACTTCGTGGAGAGTGGTCTTCTCCTCAACACCACACCTGGACTAATGGATTACCACCTGCTTGGATTAATTTTAGCTTTTCTCTTTGGTGACGCAAAGGTCTTAGCCGGTTACCCCATTTGGTGGTAAGATGCATTTTCCACTCATCTCAAACTTTTGGCAATTTATTGATTAATTTGCATTCTCCGCGTTTGCATACTTTGCCTTGAATCGTGTGTTTGATCCTTCCATATTTTCCACAATTCATTCAAAGTTTTGTGGTGATGGCATTGCATTTCTATTGCAAAAGGGTTCTGCTTAATACTTTTCCTCCCAATTTGTCTTAAAGGCAAATTCGGAGCCTCGGATATTATGTACTTTTGAAACATCATCAATGTAATTCTTAAGCGGTGGACAAAAATGTTGTAACGCCAGTTGAATGATGATTGAAGCTCAGAAGTTCTGAATGGGAAAAGTATAATTCAAATGTTTAAATTATTTTTAGGCATGTTGATACAGGTCACATTGCTATACTAGCAGTGCTATGTCAAAGGATATTTGCCAGAATTGCCCTTCCTTCTTAAGTACTTGACCTGTGTTAGAGAGGATGTATTTTTGGTTCTTTTAAATATTTGATTTAAAGTCGTTGGCCACCATAAATTCATTTATAAAACTAAGAAAAATAAAAATTTGTTGTTTTTGTTAAATACTTGTGCCAAAAAGAAAATAACCTCCAATTCCAAATAGAAGCTTGCTCTTAGTTCCTATTAGGAGAAACCAAAAAAAGACAAAAACGAACGAAATTTGCCCAGATTCTTCTGCCATTGTAAAAGAAGGCAAAAGGAAATGTATAGCAGAACAGAAATCTCAGATTATTTGAATAATGTCAGCATTTCAAAATGCTGTATCTCTTTGTCAATGTCTTCCTTGATCCATTAACATTAACTTCAAAATAAATATAGTCAGAAAATGCTAAACCTAATGGAAATAGGCATGGAAATAGGCAAATATGGCTCTCTTCTACTTTCTTTGCTTCCTTTCTATACAATTCATTCTTTAAGTCTATCCTAACACAACAAAGAAATAAGCTAAAACGGATTGCTTAAAAGGAACAATGTTTTTGTAGGGAAAGACATTGGCTGTAAATGGCTTTAGCGACCACAAATTGTCATAAAATATGTCATGGACATTTAGCATTTATAGCAGTATTTTGATTATTTTGTAATTGTTTGGAATGGTATGGAGGCAGTTCATTATGCTTGCAAAATGGATTAGGATCCTATGTTCATAACACAACCTTTCCCCTATTCAAGACCCTTCCTTTAGATTAATATAAATCAGATTTCTTGTAGTCCCAAGTTCCATAAAACCAACTTCTGTCAAACATTCATTGGAAAAGGTTGTAAAGAGGGCACATTGGACAATTACAGTGAAAAGCTTCTTTACAAGTGAAAGAATTGTAAATACAAACAGATTCAGAGGTCTAGGCTTGGTTACCAAATACAGCTTTTGGGGAATCCAGTTGGGTTTTTGAAGCAAACCAGGCCTCTATACCTTGATTGAACAATTCTGATACATAAAGAAGCATCCTGATAGTTGAATAGCGGGACTCATCTGTTCTGTTACCCTTTATGAATGAAAAAATGAAAGATTCATTCTCTTGTCTCTACTTTGTCTCCTTCAAACAATCTCTCCCTTAAAAAATAATACATTTGTGACCTCACGTAATACAGAGAAGTAATTCCTTGGATCTAAGAATCTAGACAATATAAAATATATAATTCAACAGGGTTGGGATCCAGCATATTATTGGAGACGGAAGTTGGGATACCCAAATGCTCTGAAAATAAAATATACATCTCCATCTGAATTAAGTTCTTTGATCATGCAATTATGTTCTCTAAAGTAGGAGACAAATGGTATGATAATTATATTTTCTGCCAAGACTAAAACATCTTGTTCTGCTGATCGTTTAGAGGTAAGTGCCTGTCTGAAGCATTAATGTGTTGCTGAGCCAAAGCATAATTTATCATGAATTGAGAACGTGTGTATATATTCCATATCCATCTTTTTCCCTTATGCTTATTGCTGCACATTGTCTACTTCCTGGTCAGATGAGTTTATTATTTTCTAATGATATTGTATGTTTATTCCTTCACCCGGTGTTAAAAACTGAGTTTTCATAACAGAATAGCAAAGTTAGTTTTTAAATCAGCCAAAGCCTCTTATAAGTGCTCAATTCCTCCTACATTTTGGAGACATCAATAAAAAAAATAAATTGCCTACAAATAACTTTAAAGAAAACAGATAAGCAGGCAATATTAATATATAACTCCTCTGAATCTTTTCACATTTCTGTGGTTTCACAGGCTGATTGATTTTACATGGAAGAATGCAAATATACAGAAGCATTTAAATATATGTTGTGTTATTAGTTTGATGCCTGCATGAGTCATGGAGATGCCAACTCTGGTCATGGATTGGACAAACACTTTTGGGAATAGGAGAGTCATAGTCTAGTCCTGATTCCAAAATCTGGGCCGTTATATCACAGCACCTCAACAGAAATATCTCTCCAATTCTGCAATATAATATATTTATGTTGAGAATAGAATTCTGTATATTAGTCCCTAACTGAACACACTGATTCCCAGAACGAAATGCTATTTTCAAAAATATTTTAACGTTTGGAAATCATAAATGGAGAGTAGGAAAGAAACCCTGCACTGTTTTTACTTGCTTGAAACATTGAGGATGAAAAAAACATGGTGAAGTAGGACGGAAACACAAAAGAAATGGTAATGAAAGGCTACAGGACACCAAGAAAAGCAAATTAGCTCTGGCTTCAGCCTCCAATATGGATTTCCAACCTCACTGTAAAGGAAAAAAAATCACCTGATTACTATTTAATCTATTTTTTAATCCTCATCAGCTTGTTATAAAATTTCATCATTCGTTTATCTTTAAACAGAATTGTTGACATCCAGTGTCACCAAGTATGATTGATTTAAGGCTGTGGTTGGGAGTCAGAAAATTGTTTCTATCTCAGTTTACCTTCTGGGTCACTCCTTCTTCTTAAGCGCCTCCCCTCCCTTGAAACGCCACCCCTCCAAACATCAGAAGATCCCTTTCTCTAAAGAGAGAAACACAAAATGATTTGTCTGTGTAGGAAAGGGAACAGAGACAGCCTTTCTGTAGTGTGGGATGGGCCCGATTGGAAATCACTGATCAGAAATAAGAGCATGGATTCATCTCCCAGCACAGATTGGAGAACCTTGAGATTGAAGATTGTTTTTTTTCCCCTCTCATAGTGTCAGAGGGTATTCTACACAGCAGAATTAATGCTGTTTGACACCACTTTCACTGCCATGGCTCAATGATATGTGGCATCATGGCAGCTGCATTTTTGCAATCTTTCGCCTTCTCTGCCAAAACATACACATACCTTGGGAAACTACAAAGTTCCTAATTCCATAGCATTGAGCCATGGCAGTCAAAAAGATGTTAAACAGCATTAATTCTATAGTCTAGATGCACCAGATGCAACCAGAAGTAGCCCTCCTACAATATTGGTAGAAGGATTGGGCATATCCAGTTAGTTAGCTGAGGTCCCCCATCCTAGGATCTGTTCCCTGTCATTAATTAATTCTGTGTCCTCCAGAGCCACAGTTTCTTCAAAAATTTATGAACTGTACAAAAGAATCATTGGAATAATAATTTCTTTGCAAGACACACCAAGTCAACAAGACTTTACTGATCAACAACATTAGGCAAGTAATAATGTAACTGTCGTGGCAGCAAGATAGGCTTTGAAACTGATGTTGATAGATTAAGTTATGTAGTCTTCGGGAGTTCAGTTCCTTCATAGGATGAGCAGCATGCCATTATAATTATGTGTTAAATATTTTAAATTACAGCATTTTACTTCACCCAGTCCATAGCTTGTATAAATTAGGAAAATAGGACAAAATGGCATTATTTATTCATTTATTTATTTATTTTAAACATTTATATTCTGCCCTTCTCACCCTGAAGGGGACTCAGCACAACATACAAACGGCAAACATTCAATGCCAGGACATGAATTCATTATATGCATACATAAACATTAAAAAAACCATTAGTCTCTACATTAAAATACACTGTTTAAAACTGTCTTGATCATTGTCCCCACCAAAAGTGTCAATGTCAAGCAATTATGTGCCCTTCATTTTATATGGTTTATGGAGAAATGGTTGATACTTGTGCAAGTGTATCATTGAGCAAAATACCAGGAAAGAATGTGCTTTGGAAGATGGTGATATCCATAAAGATTCAGCCCAGTGAAGATTGTAAGATACTGACCCAGTCAAAAAATGTGAATGTTAGACTTGTCTGGGTCAAACAGGGTTTAGAGGTCAAAGCCTTTTCCTCGAGGTGGGAGATGACCTTAGTAATCCAACTTCAGGTTCAGAGCTATGATGGCCAATGCTAGAGCCTTGGTGAGACAACCTGAAAACATGAGACAAATTGTGTTTCCGTATGCAAGACCCAAATTGATCATGAAAGCAATGTACCAAGGGAAAAGCTCTCGTGGTTGGAAGGTACACTAAAACAAAGAAATCAAATTGCACAAGATAGGAAAAGCAACCTGACAAAAACTGGAAGCACCTTATGATGTGTTGCAAAAACATCAAGCTGTGCCAAATGGCATAGATTTGGGGCTGCTTCATTCAGAGAAAGAGAGATAGAGAAACCAACAGGGGAGTTTTGCATGTGTTTTAATAACCTGCCTTTATCCAATACTGAGACCCAAGGCAGCCCACAACATATTAAAATCTGGGTCAAAGTAAAATGACAATACAATAACATTAAAACCACATGAAATGGATAATTGCATTAAAACTATCAACTTTCAAACAACTAAAAATACATGTTGAGAAATTTCCAGGGAGAAGACAAAGCTTGTGAGAATAAGCCTCTCCCGGAGAGCTTAACATCCAGGCACACTCCTGTGGAGTAAATAGGGTCCTCCAAATAATTGAAGAATTGTATTTGGAAGTGAACTGGCAACCAGTGAAACCATTGAAGCAATTCAGATTGCTACAAAACTCCCTAGTTGACAGTTTTCTAAATAAGAAATTAATTTCTTTTGTTGTTGTTGTTG